TAGCCGATTCGTCGCAGCTGGATTACTAGTAAGCATCTCGAAAAAACCGACTCTACATCCTTACTCGAAAATCCAACTCGAAATCCTAACTAGAAATCCTAACTCGGGAGTTAGTTTACGTTTGTCTCCATTAATCATCATTGATGATGGTTCAAAGAAAAACTACTCGGTGGACTGCCTGACGACCCAAAATTGTGATTTTGCAACATATAAAAGGTAAAAAGAGAGTGTGTTTTTCGTTCCGTTAGACTCACAACAGAAAGAACTAGGAATAAAAATGAGTTTTATTTAGTGTAGGGTTTTTAGCAGGTGACTAAGTGGAAGAAATCTTGCTGAAAACTTCGGCTGGACAAGAAAATTCATAAAATTCATAAAACTTATCATCAGTGGAGGAATCTAAGCGCTCTTTGATTTACGGGATATGTGCGGAGTTTGAAAACCTTTGACATCGGTTGGGAATATCAACCTAAGCAAGTTGAGGGAACTTTGTTTCAGCTTAGTGCTCATTTTTGAGAGCGAAGTTGAGAAAAGTTTACTTCAGCACCGTTTTTCTCAAACAGCTGACTGAAGTTGTTCCGTGGTAATAAAACGAAGACAATATAACTAGATTGGTGTTGTATTCATCTAACCCATCACCAATATCATCTGCAAATACATTAATTTTGTCAAATTAACATTTAATTTAAAGCTTCCCTGCATTGTTATTTCCCTCTTGGTGGACGTCACATTCTAAATACGAAGCATCTTTATTCTAAAAAACAAGCAAAACACATCTGGTCATCCTTAATCAGCACTGTTAGTGCTACTATTCAAAAAGCATTTCCACGTTACTAATAAAAACTCTCAGAGAGAGAAAATTATATCAAACTAGACTCAAAGCCTTGATTTTGCTATTCGTGCGCGAATCTACGTTGCTATAAGGATCACCAAAGTGTCCACGCTGGTGAAATACAACTATATTAGCGTGTTCGCATTGGTCAAGAGAAAGTGGGCCTATGTTCTATTTTGTACTTTCAAATTGCAATCACCTTTTCAAGACACACGGAGAACAAAACCAGATGACAAGGAGATAAATCGGTGCAAGGGATGCTTACCACAAGCGGCTTCGAGGATTTCATCCAAACGATTAGATAGTTTTTGCAAATTATCGTACAGAAAGACCTTCCCATTTTTGCCAGCAATTGCAAGGAACTGCGTTTTTGCTTTTTTTATCTCTTTACCAACTCCTACAACAACTATGCTGACGTTTTTCACCTGTTTAAAAAATACAAAACGAAGAAGATTCAAATTAAAAATTATTCTGATTTTATCAAAGAACACATTAATCACAGGTTGCCTATTTACCGAGTTAGGATTTCGAGTTGGATTTCGAGTTAGATTTCGAGTTGGAATTTCGAGTTGGATTTTCGAGTTA